ACACGATTTCTCGACAACAAAATACCATAGTATGCTTGCTTTTGGAATTGAGAAACAACTTGCCTCTCAGTGGGGCTTTTAAATAATCTGCATTTTTCTATTAAGAGACACAGATGACAAGGACAGACATGGCTATACATAAATTGTATTAATCAAAACGCAAGGGAGGGAAATGTGGCATTTCCAACAAAGCATTAGGCTGGTCTTAACAATTTGTATTCCAAAGTTCTTCCTGCACAGCAAACATGGTTGACATGCTGACCATAAACTGTAAAAACTGATTTAAGACTTTGACTTAAACATTAGATAAACAGATTGACAAATTTTAATCTAAATTTTAATAATAAAAATCTGTTCTAATATCTTATGCAGGTTAAGTAACTACTGGAGATATTAACTTTATACTGATATTCCTGGTTCCAACATTACCCAGGTTTCACCTTCATGCATTCTATTCTGCTCTTAACAGAGTTAAGAAGCTACAATCAGAAGCATCTTCTGCATATAGTTACTTACAGACTTAAGTTATGACTTAATTTGCACCTTACGATAAGTAAAAGTTTGTTCAGATTTTTGGGTGCAAAGTGACCTTCCAACTCCTATTCTTGTAAGGTCTTCTCAGATCCATTTTTTAATTTTTAATACTTGATTTTTAATGTTATTTTGGAAGCCCTTGAGCCCCTGCTAGACACAGCATTAATGGACTGATTTAATGCTGTATATAGAGCAATAGCCCCATACTACTAGCCACAATCTTCCTGCCTCGACCTGCAGAGATTGCAGTTGCTAAGACACTCACCATGAGCATTCAGTCGTATTGCTAGTGCTTTCAGAGTTGCTGCCCTGCCCAAGTAAAGTCACTTCCCCATACTGTCCAAGATTTTTTTGTTCCTAATATACAGGTCAGCATGTAACTGTGCCAATATTGATATTTTTAACACTCCTTGTGGAAGGATACCATTAATACATAAAAAAAAATGTTGGTAGGATCCCACTAGAAACTCTTCCAGGAACTGTTTCTTGACAATTTTCTGTTTAAAGTAAGATGTTTAAACTGGATGAAAATCTGGTTTATATATTTAATTTGTATAGTAATAATTTAAACATCAGAAACAGCCACAATCACCACTAAGAAAGTTCACAATTCTGGAATTTCAACTTCTGTACAGTCAGGAACCAGAAAGAGAGAGGGAGAGAAAAAATAAATCTGCTAGTTTTAATCACAACAACTACATCAGATCTATATTGCCAGTATTGGTGAATACCCCCTTACACATTAGCCATTTTTCAAGATAAGATGACAGCCCTAAAATAAATTTTAGCTTAAGTTTCTGAAATAAATATACAGATATTTCAACAGTATTAAAGGGCAACCCTTATCCTCTAATACAGGTAACAGCCATTTCTATCAGTGTAAAGGACAGTTTGTAGTGTACTTCCCTGTAATACTATTCAACTTCAATTAATCAATTTCAATTTTTCTGACAAACTCACTGTATCAGCTTATGCTACTGACCATACAATTTTTTTAAAAAAAGCAAATCCAATCAATAAAGAGGTAACTGCAATCTTATTTTCCACTTGAAAGCTGAGCAGCAGCAAAAATACTGTTTTTATCAGTTCTCATTTGTTACTATCAGGTACATAGTTACCTAGATTTTTCCATTTTCATTATGAAGTAGCAGCTTTGTTTTCACCCCTCTCAATCTCTTTCAGGAACGTTTTGCTTCCTCTAGACAAATGTTTGTTCTTGAGACACATATACGTTCAGTACAAGTCAAAATAAGGCTGAAATTAGAAAAATGGATTCCTAGGCAAGCTACTTAACACTGCTCCAACCACAGCTGCAGGTTTCCTTTTGCTACTTTGTTAGCCTTCATTGCACTGATCAGAGCTCTGCTGGACATTGCAAATTATTTGCAAGTATTTGGCAAAATATTTTTCTGTCACATGCACAATAATGTTGATTCCTGTAATCAAACAGAAACCATTTTTAAAAAAACTGACTATGATATTAAACTTTAGTGCTGACGTTACATAAAGCAGTTATGTCCTGTAAGGACAGTAAAGTTATTGGATATCAAGAGATTTTAAAAGCATGACTCAATGTTGGCACAATTCCCCAGCTCATATACATAATTTCCTTTTCCTCCCCTCCCTTGAGTCAGGAAGTCTCCTAGATGCATTTTTACTTTCCCAACTTGTTATGAATGTAGGATGGATTTTCAGTATTACCTGAAGAAATAAAACCCCTATGAGCTATGCTTTTTGAACTTAAAAAGAGCTAACAAAATGAAAACTAATTACTTTCGCATTAGGACTTATGGAAATCTTTATTATGGTAAAAATGGGAATTAAAAACGTAAGGAGTGCATCCATATAGGTATTTTTAAAAGTCTTGGACATTCTACATATATATTCATACATTCCAAACTCATTATACTGCTGTCTTTAAATTCAAAACTGCATTTAAAAAAAAATTTCCATGTCCAACAAACATCTCACAACCTCCCATTACTTCAGTAAGCAATGTTAGTGAGCTAAACCATAGAATGAAAAAGCCCCACAACATTCCCCATATCTGTGACTAATATTCAGTGTGAGTCACTTAATAGAACTAACGATTACTTAAATGTTCATACACAAACATTTGTTCCAAAAAGCTGATTAAAAATGCTGCTTTTGAAGTAGCAATTATTTTAATACTACAAAAACCAAACACTGCCATGCATAAAATTAAGTCAAGCTGACTTAAGGATATTCTGTTTATTTTGTCTGTTTTATACTAGTACCAAAGAAAAACACGAATACAACAGAAGTAAGTTGTAATTAACATGGACATTTGAAGTCAGAAATACAGGCTTCCATAATTTATGTCTTTGTAAGTTTTTCCATCTTTTTAAAAGAAGCACTTTCAATTGACATCAAATTACTTGTTGCAGACAGAATCTATTGTTTCACCTGACAGAAAAGATTTCCTAAAAGCAAACCATTTGCAAATGTTTAGTTTCAGGTTTTCCTTTTTATTCTTAAATTGTTAAGTCTCTAAGAGAAAAACAATGCAGGGAGATAATAAAGAAAAATCACTGTATTTATTCCTTACTTTCTAGACGCTCTACTCTTTC